CGATTCGTAATCGATGTAATGTGGTCTCTTATCTCCGGTATCGTGGCAAGTTCAAATAGTGCAACCATTTTCTTCTCAGAAACCCGATTTAATTCTATTTCACGAACATAACATCTTAAATACCTTGAAATATTCCTCCCATCAAATTGATCAATTTTATTGACCATTGCTTGCAATGCTTTGGTTGCCAAAGCTTCCTTTCGATCATTGCTTTGTTGTTGCTGCATTGATAATGAGAAGGCTTGAAACATACTAGCAATAGACGGATCCATGTGCATACCTTGTCCTTTAGAAGAATCCCCACCAGAAACTCCTCCCAAAAATCCTTCAAAATTTTTATTTTTGTTTTCCATAAAATAAAGATAAAATCAACCGAAATCCAATACCTTCCACCTCAAGCTTTCACGTCGGGTTCACCACTTTTGTCGTATTACGTGCTTTCCTGCTCGAGAACGCGCCGAGCGTCTGGCTGTAGAAGGTAGTATGGAGATTCGCCGATAATCAAGCAGTCTATCAGTTTCTGACTGTTGAAATATAAACGACTGCAAGAATACACCATAAATCTATACGGATGCCCTTCGACTGCTCGCCGAAGTCCTTTTTGTCCTAGTCGATAGGTCTCTAGACGTTACAGAGAATCCCGAACAACCCAAACTGCTAATCTTCGATACCGCTTTATACTCACGATCTTGTATCCACTGACTGTCTCGTTAGATTAACCCAATAAATTTCATTCACTCCGCATACTCAATCCTATAGACACCCTTTTAATTCTTCATCACAGACGTAACTCGATTTCACAAAACAGTCAAGAGTAATCAAACCCACTTCATTAAAAATCCCGATTCACCATTACAACACTGACTTCAGCAACGATTGCCTCAGTCTTCTCAAAACCCTATGAAGAAAAAAAACTCAATTCTCTGTCTTTTTTCTCCACCCGAAGCATGAAGCTAGCTCTTTCCCCTCCTTCAAAACTCCCCAAAAACTTATTCTCCCCCCTAACCTTATCCTCTGAATTTCTTCAATCTTTCGTCTTGGATCCGGAATTGGCTCCCACCGTCAGAGCTTAGATCCGAAATTGACTCCCGTCGTCAGAGCTTAGATCTAAAACTAGCTCTCGCCGTCAAAGCTTTCTCCTCCATTTTTACCTTTAAGAAATCCTTTTACCGAAAGGACGTTCTTGGAACGGCACAAAGGACGGAACAACTTGAAACGGACTCGGAGCCCGTAATCAGGACCACATTGAGTCGCACGACCAATTCAGGTCTTATATTGGGAAAGAGTCCAATAGTAAGACCCGGATGTTCCCGTAATTGGATCAAATTGGTCCTTCGCGTCAGATTGGCTGAGGCCCGTAGTAAGACCTGGATTCTCTTCTAATTAGACTGTATTGGGTTGCCCGACCAATTCAGGTCTCATATTGGGTAAGAGGACCCGGATTGGATTCTTGAAATTGGATCCAATTGGCTCTTCGAACCAGGCTCACCCGTCGTGTGAATTGGTCCTTTCTCTTTCTGCTCACTCCCGTTATTGGAATCGAACGGAGCATTTTAGTATGCCCCGGCTGACTGTAACGGGGTGACTGACCCTGGCCTCCCAGTATTTGCACTGGAATTGGTCGTTGCTCCCAATATTCAAGGTAACTAAACATTAATAAAAGTCCTCTTTCTTTATATATTTTCACGGTATACTCGTGTTACAACACGACAACGTTGTGATGTTTTATAGGACCTCCAATATATGTTGACTTTGTAGAACACATGCCTTGACTTACAAGGCAAGTTTTTCTACATATGGACCACATAGTTAGCTTGATCCTCAAGCTAACAACATATGTAGCACATGGCCAACTTGTTGACCACGTTTCTAATCCAAAAAGTCAATTAAAGACACCTATAAAGTCAAAGCAGCATCTATGAGGCTTCTAAGAAGCTTCTATAGCAAGTATTATAGAATTAACTTATTTTTACTTACTTTTACTTACATCTATCTATTTATACATGTAATTACTAGCTTACATGCGTATGTCCACGACAATGTCCTAAACATCAAATAAAAGAAATAAAACAAGATTTTAAGAGTGGCTCTAAATATATAAAACTATTATCAACATAAAATCAACTTCAATAATAGCTTTTTTAAACTAACCACTTCAAAGTGATAATCTAACCATATTTTGTGACTAATTAAAATCTAATAATGTGGCTCTTATCACATTGTATAGTAAATTATACATTAAATATTTATATGCATTATTTTCACATAATAGCCGAATCACAATATAACACCATGCCAATATAAGCAAAAACATATAGATATTCATAAATGTAAGCAAAAATATACCATAAGCAAAAAGAGCCAATACTAAAGCAAATTATTATGTCAATAAGATGTGATGGCCATAAAAGTGTAATAAGTGGTTGTGTATTTCTTTGTTACGGAATTTGTATGTTATATTTGATGACAAGCAAAGATTTTTTTATTTTCACTAACACAATATGGTTCTAAAGAAGTACAAGAAATTACTTTCTATTTGAAAAATATAATACCATTATATTACTCATACATTTATTGTTAACTTTATCTAATTAGTATTCATTTTGTAAAAGCAATATTAAACTTTAGTAGGCAATTATTTACTATCTCTCAATCAAATATAATTCTTTCCAAACCTTATTGAACAACAATTAATTTATCTAACTTTGACATATGAATCTTAGATATATTGTGGACATTGCATGTAGCAAGCTACAAAGAAGTCATATTTGACTATAAGAAAAATGAAGAAACCATATTGTTTTCAACCAAAAATAATCATTCTTTGGTGGATAGATGGAAGTTAGGATATGAGAGCATGCATGTGGGTAGAAAGGTGTCACAAATATACATATTTATTCTAATAATTACCTAGATAATATGAATAGATAGAATTTAATAAAAATAGTTTAATTTAATAATATCTCTTAAAATAGCTTTTTAGAATAAAAAAACATGTTATATAAGAAGAGTTGGAATAAAGTAAATATGTTAGATGTAGAACTAATCAAAGATTTGTATGTATGTGAATATATATATATATATATATATATATATATATATAAATAAAAAATAAGATTAAAATTTTATATGATTGTCATATTATATGTCTTAAAGTGTTTGTTTGTTTGTTTGTTTTTTTTTTTTTTTTTCTTATTATTATTACTTCATACTATGTTTTTGATGTGTAGAGCATACTAAAATGATAGATTATCAAAATGTAGAGAATACACAATGACTGTCTTTTAATCTCATTGTTTAAAATGAATTGATTTAGTTCCATAAATTGTGTCAAAAGTTTTGGTGATTTTTGCAAGTTTTTTTGTCTCGTAAATTCAATCATCCTTTAAAGAGTAAAGAAATCATTAATTATTGAATTTTAGTTTTTTTTTCATTTCTATTTGAGCACTTTGCTACATCTTAATTATAAATTCTTATTGAAATACAAATCTTGAGTAAATTCTCATTATTTGTATGTTTATTTTTTTTTTGTTGTAGTTGCTTTTACACAATTGTACTTGTATTTACAAATGTATACAAACATCCAAATACATAAGAATTTTTTTTGTAGTCATGTATAAAAAAAATCATTGAAACTAATACATAACTCATTAAAAATAAATTGTTGATTTTCAATAACTTGAGGCTCTAATATATCATACACATAAAATAAAACTAATATTTTATTTTAAGAATTTAGAATCAAAATATTTAAAAATAATAATAAAATTACAAATTTATATAAAATATTTGATAATTAAGCTATTTTTTAAAGATAAAAACAAAAAAATCAATGGAATCAAAATCACATAGTCTATTGTACAAATAATGCATTAACATGTGTGATTTGAATTGTCAATCTTAAAGTTGTTCTATTCAAAGATGTGCCTCATTTTAAAAATAATTTTTTACATTTATTCATATTAGATAAAATATTATATATACTTATTTATATATATATTTGGTTCAGCACCAACTCACATGCTGAAATCTTTTTGTAGAGTACTAGTTGTGCTAAAAAAGCTAGTTCTTATAAACTCCCTTTATTCCTCTTCAAGACATTTCTTTAGGAGTTGTCAATTTTTGACTTAGCAATTGCAAATTAAACTTTCATATCTTTTTTGTGGCCAGTGGCATAGGTTACTACTAACACACACACACACACATATATATATATATATATATATATACTAGCTGTAACTTATGCCCTTGTGAGTGAAAAAGTGTAAAAACTTCTAGGAGAGGTCTCTTCTAGAATCTAGGGCCTTAGAAAGCCCCATGTTGATGTGCTCATGCATTCCCGCATTCCCCAAGTTCCTTGTTCCCTTCTTCAATGAGAAGACTTCTTTATCTCTTTGTCTTATATCCAAGTTATTATATATATATATATATATATATATATATATATTTCTATATTTTTAATTTTTTTTATACAAGATTGGAAGCATTTTGTTTTTCAACTTTACTCTACATAAATAAATAAAACATCAGTATATTGTTCTTCTGCAAACCTTACAGCATCAGTAAAACACAATTTGCAAAAAATCATCAACTTTCAATTTGAGGACTTCAGATGTGCTTTCAATTTTGCAAGTTTGATGAATCAATATTAAAGACAAGAACTTTATTAACTATCTCTCTAAAATGTTAAAAAAAAATACAATATCACTTTATCAAAGTGTATACTCCCCATATCTAGGGTGAATGAGGCTCCAATCCTATTAACACCCCACAAGAGGTCACTCTAAACTTGCTCTAATTCCATGCAAAGATCACAACAGCACAAGTGTTGGTTAAGCATAAATGATCAACGCAAATCTGCACATTCACTTTAGAATGATTCTCTTCCAAAACATACACAACCCTTCGAACTGAACAAACCAGATCCATCGCTACATATCAATCGGAATGGAAGTGTTGCGCTGCGACATCGCGCATCGGAATCGAGAACCGAATCAAGGCATGCATAGGCGTCGCGATGGCTGCTGCTGCGATCGTCTCCGAATAAAGTCACTCTGTCCATTTGATTGTGGTTCGATGGCTGCTTGGATTCGTAGTTCAGATTCGCCATGTTCGGCGAGAAAACCACAACTCGACGCAGCGGAATTCCCCGTCGAACGAGCCGCGGGGACTCGTTGGACGTAGCGAACTGAATGGGGGTATCGTCCGGCACCTGGCAATTCTCGGCGAGGGAGTGCCGAGTATCCGGGATAGTGATAGTGGCACAGTTGGACAATCAGAGCATCCGGTTTCCTCCACCCTCTTCACCCCAGATTTCATCCGTCCATGGTATTTGTTCTCTGGATCCGGACACCCACCTGCGTCGATCGATGTGCTGAGGTCGCATTGCCAAGGGTGGTGCTGCGGTGTTTGGATCCAGCCGCACGCGATCCACTGCTACCTCGCTGCCTGGCTCCTGCGTCAATCACATCACGGTCCCAGAGCCCGCATTTCTTCTCCTCGGATCGGCGCCGCAGCAGTGCATTTGCCCGCCGCAGCTCAGGTGCGTTGTTGTCTTTGTAGATCTGGGTTCCTCTTCGCGAGTGTGAGTGACTTGAGCTTCTGCTGGAGAAGTTAAAGTCAGATCGGGTGCATATTCACGACGAGGATCAGTTTAATCCTATCTCAAAACGAAAATTAGGGTGGTATTTTTTTTTTTTGTTTTTGAGGTGTATTGTGGTTCTGTGTTGGATCTGTGGTGGAATTTTGTGTTGCAGCATTTATTGTTGGGATCGGAAAGAACCGCGGAATGATAGAACTTGTTAATCCAGACATGTAGGCACCTTGTTAGGTGTTAGAGAATCGCTTTGGGTTACATTGGACGTCGCAATGCAGATCTTGCTTCACCCACTGTTTGAAATTTGTTTCAATCTGTTAATTAGGCTGTTGTACAGCTCTACAAATGTGCAGAGATCTATCACTCATACACGTCCAGAAATAAAACGCTGTTCCGGCGAATAGATTCCGACACTGCCATTGTTGGAGGAACGAGAGTCTCTTTGGAACTGCTGCGATGAGTTTGTGCTGCATCTGTTAAAGCTTTAGGAAGCTGTGTTTTGGTATCGCATTTGTCACATTGTCTGGGATCAGGGATACAAACTTGTTATGATGTGGTCTATGGACTTGTCATAAAACTTGTTGACGGTGGGTTTTTCAACAGTAGTTGTTGCCTTTCTAATACGCAGTTGGGTAGAGATTGAAGAATACGTGTAATAATATTTTGTTGCTGTTTCGCTGAAGTTGGTGGCACTGCAGGTACTGACGTTAGTGGTACGAGACTCAGGCCTGGGTGGCTTTTGTAAGGTTCCAAGGGAGGGCTCAAAATGGATAACCTGATTGGGCTAGTGAACAGGATCCAAAGGGCTTGCACTGCCCTTGGTGATCATGGTGGTGAAGGTGCTGTACAAAGTCTATGGGAAGCCTTGCCATCAGTTGCTGTTGTTGGAGGGCAGGTATGAAAAATTCACTTTCAATTGATTAACGATTTTCCATAATTTCATTTACTCTGAAAACTCTTAAGTACTAAAATGTTGATGTTCTGCTCTTTTAGTTCGACAAGGTTTGAATGATGATAATTTTATCATCAGATGCTCTCAATGTCTTAAATCCTTCTTGAAAAGTCCACCAAAGCGAGACAGGTTGGACACCTTCCGCATACAGCTAGCTTGATGTTGGGTCATTGACTAAAGGATTTAATCTTCAAAACCTAGTGATGTCATGATGTTGATGACAAGAAAGTGCATACCTGTGGAAGCTCAATAATATTGAGCATGCCTTTCAAGTCAGGTTTGTGTTGGGCTGAAGTTGTGAACTTTTCAATTAATTATTAATTCGAATCTTTGTGTCTTCATTACCCATGACAGTTCCACCTAACTTTCGCTAATTCCTCGCTATTGCTCTTCAGAGTTCCGGGAAGTCTTCTGTTCTTGAGAGCATCGTCGGACGTGATTTTCTTCCTCGGGGTTCCGGTAACTAGCCAACTCTTATCCGCCATTGAGATGCTTAACTCCAAGAGCTTAGAATTGCAGAAGAACATGGAATCATGGTCGATTTTGGAGTAAAAACTGATTCTACTCCTTGAGCCTCATCTCTAACAAAACATTGAGATCCTTGAATGTAGTGCATGTGTTGCAGCTTTTCATTGCAATTGAGAGTATATAGTAATTATAACTTTTATTACTCTGGTTGTACTTAGCATGATCTACGCGTGATGTGGCAGGTATTGTTACTCGGCGTCCATTGGTTTTGCAGCTGCATAAAACTGACGAAGGCACTCCAGAATACGCTGAGTTCCTTCATATGCCCAAGAAGCGCTTTTCTGATTTTGGTACGAGATCGTCAAGTTCATCTTTAGCTTCTATGATCCTTTGGTTCGACTGTATGCCAAAGAAGGCCCACTCTTTTTAAATTGTCCTTGCGTATTGTCCTATTGAGTTCTCTAGTAGGTAGTGCCAGCAGGTTGTATCTGGACTTCAATGCTGACGGATATATCGTCTAATGTTGTGGTATTTTTAATGCAGCTGCTGTGAGGAAAGAGATCTCAGACGAGACAGATCGGATAACTGGGCGAGGCAAAGGGATTTCAGTTGTTCCAATTCAGCTCAGTGTTTATTCTCCTAATGGTACATTCTTTTTCTAGCGGCTCACTCAAGCGCATTCCCTCTTATGGCACTGTATTAGATACCTTATAGTATACTTTGGAACAGGATCTGTTATTTAGAGATTTCTTTGTTGTTAATGACATGAATTCCTTACTGATTTCAATAATCTCTGCAGTTGTGAATTTGACTCTTATCGATCTTCCCGGCCTTACAAAAATTGCTGTTGGTGAGAACACTCGACATCTCTCTCTTTGAACAAGTTTTTCACACTGATTCTGAATGTGCTCTACCTTTCTAGATCAACTTCAAAGTGTTACTGGTTTATTAACTGTTGAGAATGTGCGTTCCCCTAAACAATGTTTAATTTTTGAACGGTGTATTGTTGTGAAGATGGCCAATCGGATAGTATCGTTCAAGACATTGAGAACATGGTCCGCTCTTACATCGAGAAGGTAACTTCAATTCATCCTACTTTTGATCTCATGTTAAGTACGCTTGGCCTTCCCTAACTAGAGGCCCTTACCTTGTAGGAGGGGCTTTGTTCTTTTGATGTTTTAATTTGTAAAAGTGATTCCCTCTTCAAGAGGTGAGATTATTGGTCTTGTGGAAACTCATTGTATAGAATGTGTCTGTCTTTGTTGCAGCAAAATTCAATTATTCTTGCTGTATCTCCTGCCAATCAAGATATCGCAACTTCAGACGCGATGAAAATCGCAAGAGAAGTGGATCCCACTGGTAGGTATCACTGTGGTTTATTTTCCGTTTATGTTTTGTCTTGCGGAGTGCTTTGTAGTCACAACGAATCAAGCTCTGAGCTTTAAAGGACACCTTGCAACCATGTCATGGACCTAATACTTCTTGATCCCTTGGCAATTGTTGTATTTTTACGTTCAACCCCACACAAATCCTAGTAGTCATACTGTTCTATGTTTATTTTATGATTTGACGTCCCAGTATCAATCTGCAGGAGAGAGGACTTTTGGTGTTCTCACAAAGTTGGATCTTATGGACAAGGGGACCAATGCCCTCGATGTAAGTCGAAAGTGTACTGTTTTGTGCTTGAAATCTGCATGTTTTATGAAACAAGTTAGATTACTCGATAACCAAGTTTCTTGGTGACGAATGAGCATGTCATTGTATGTGCGTTTTGTCTGGACCAGTTTCCTTTTGCCTCAGTGGAAACATACCGCTCATGAACGTCTCTCTATTGCTGCAACAGGTCCTGGAAGGCCGTTCCTACCGTTTGAAACATCCGTGGGTAGGAGTTGTAAATCGTTCCCAACAAGACATCAACAAGGAAGTGAACATGATAGCAGCCAGACGTAGAGAACGAGACTACTTCCAGACCAGTCAAGATTATGGTCACTTGGCCAGCAAAATGGGTTCTGAATATCTTGGGAAAGTGCTCTCGAAGGTATGTGGGAACGGCTCTGACTCCTGGGAAACGTACCTGGTGTTATGTTTCAGCTGTAACTCATGGACTAATATTTCTTGACGTTTATATTGCAGCATCTGGAAGCTGTTATCAGGTCGCGTATTCCTAGCATCCTGGCTATGATTAACAAAAGCATTGACGAAATTGAGGCGGAGCTCAATCAAATTGGCAGGCCACTCGCCAATGACGCAGGGGTAAGAGAATGATGCTCTGCGTCGTCCTGTGTGTATCAGCTTGTTGTACACCAGTCATTATGGTAATTCGTGGATACCACTACTTAGCTTCGGCTACTATCTACTACGGAAGTAACAGCTCGACTATCAGATATCTAGTTAAATATCTCTCAGGTTGGTGTTATGCAACACTGACACCACATTTGAGTTTGAGATGCAGGCTCAGCTGTACACCATTCTGGAACTTTGCAGGGCATTCGATCGCATTTTCAAGGAGCATCTGGATGGAGCGTAAGTGTTATTGGCACTTCTATTCATTTACTTGTTTATTTTCTGTGAATTGAATGATCGATTCGATGTTTGTCGTTGTGCTTCAGTATTGCACTGGCGTAACTATCTTTTGGAACGAAACTTCGCTGTGCATTAATTTTGGACACTTTTGGACATTTATGGAATTGTGTCTTCTTTCAGACGGCCTGGTGGAGAGAAAATATATGCCGTGTTTGACAATCAACTACCAGCTGCATTGAAGAAACTTCCGTTCGACAAGCATTTGTCTGGACAGAATGTTCGAAGAATCGTGTCCGAGGCCGATGGGTACCAGCCCCATCTTATAGCTCCTGAACAAGGTTACAGGCGTTTGATTGAAAGTTCGCTACAATTCTTCAGAGGCCCAGCAGAGGCAGTTGTTGATGCAGTAAGTCACTCATTTGCATGCATTCGTTGACTGTTAGCTCACATATTTTCATAAGCAAAATTTCTCATTAAAACTATTGTGGTTTTAAGAGATTGGATGAACGTCAACCTATATACTCGTGGATATTTTAGTTCAAATCATAGAGTTTTCGCTTATTCATGGTTTGTTGACTACTCAGGTGCATTTTATTCTTCGGGATCTGGTTCGAAAATCGATCGGAGAGTGTTCGGTAAGCGAATGATGCTTTGAATCTTTCTGCTTTAAAGAATGTGCTTACGTTTCCAAAGTAATACATTTCGTCGGAGTGTCGGGGCTTTTCTTGGTTACTTCAACTAAATATATGTTCAGTCAATGTAATTACTTATACATTATTGACTTCAGAGCATAAATCTATGATGATGACTTCCTTTGTACAGGAACTGAAAAGATTTCCATCACTACAAGCGGAGATTGCTCAAGCGGCCATCGAATCCTTGGAGAGGTTGAGAGATGATAGTAAGAAGACTACTTTGAGGCTTGTGGACATGGAGTCCAGCTACTTGACCGTAGACTTCTTTCGAAAGCTTCCTCAAGAGATAGAGAAGGGTGGAAATGCAGCTGCCGCAGCTAATGATCGTTACACGGACAATCATTTGCGACGCATCGGTAATGCCGACATGCTTGTCAATAGAATTGCAAGTGGTATTGTGCATCTTATTTTTCTTCACATGTGAATCTGTTTCTGTGCCCGTTCTATCTGTCTACCGTCTGATTTGTTGCTCGGTGAATCTCGCTGTTGTAGGTTCCAATGTGGCATCGTACGTAGGAATGGTCTGTGACCAACTGAGAACATCTTTGCCCAAAGCTGCGGTGCACTGTCAAGTGCGAGAAGCGAAACGATCATTGATGGACCACTTTTACACTCAGATCGGCAAGCGTGAGGTGAACACCGTAACGTTGATTACTGAGTCAGACTTGGGATTGCCCAATAGCCAACCATAATTTCATGGAGTTTATTAAGAGGTCCGTCATATCTGATATTTCATACATCACTACTCTCTGTTGTGGTCCTTGAGCTGTTTTTTTACCTCGTATCTGTGCAGGGGAAGCAACTATCTGCAATGCTGGATGAGGACCCTGCGTTGATGGAACGCAGAGTTCAGCTGTCCAAAAGGTTGCAACTTTACAAATCAGCTAGGGACGAGATTGATGCTGTGGCCTGGAAATAGATCAACGGCTATACTCATTTCTCCTATATATGATCAGCGTAAATCTGACGCTCCATTTCAACAAGTAAATCAAATACGAAAGGTACTTTTGCTACAGATAGTTGCGTTTTTTCACACCTCTAAATGTCTTAGTGCTGACTTATCAATGCTTGTATTGATCAATGAACTCCACTTGAGGTATTCCTTCATCCGTTTAGAGTGAAGGTTGTTGGCAACTTAAACAGAGCCCTTAGTCTTCAGTACGAACTTGGTCCTAACCACAAGTCGGGTCGACCAGAAGTAGGTCTTTTCTTTCATTTGGGCAGTGCATGTAGTTGAGCCCGAACATCAATTCACGTTGACGATTCTTTGCACATTAATCTTATTGGAACTTTTGCAGTCGACCATTTTTCTACAATTGTCTTCATCTGAATTGTCAATCCAGCTCCAGCAATCGACCATGCGTGTTCAGAAGATATCTTGCAAATTTGCGGCATAGCTTTGATAAATATTTTATGAGATGCATGCTTTGGCCACACTTGGTTTCATTATCGCGAACATGGTGATGTCTCTTAGAGATAAGGTTGGTGATTGTCCACACAAAGAGACAGGAAATATTTTTGGCAAATGTGGTTGCCACTTTTGCTAATGTAAGGAACCTTAAGGATGTGAACTAGTGTTGTACTAGTGAAAATTATAATTCGGTTTCTAGTACGAGTTAGTTAGAATACGTATTTAGAACGGAAGGTGAGATTATGAAAAAAAATATTGATTACAATTACCTCAAATATAGACCATGGTCGAAGTCACTTCTAAATCAAATGGAATGTATTCCAAATTGATTTGACCATAACTAAACCATCTAGATCATTTTGAGCATCTTATCAAATGTTAATTAGGACATTGCAAGGGCAAAAGCTTTCGCTTCATCAACCTGTGACACCCTAAAACTAAGATATAATTAAATTTGAAAACTGGATTTTTCGATCGAATTAAAAATTCACACAGTTGAATTGACGTGTAGGACAGAACACTGGCAATAGAAGGAATATGATTCACAGAAGGAGCTCTTGCAGAGTAATATTCAGCTCGATACACGGGTAGTGGCCAGCATTGCACTAAAGAAACAGTTGCACTCTATCTGCTAAAAAGCCATCCCAGTGTCGAATGTGACAAATGTGTATAGCTTTCCAGTGTAACTTCTCACCCCTTCCAGAGTTCCCTCCGAACCGACAAGTTTAATCGAAGCACAATCCTATTTCAGTATACAAAGAGAACAATACAGCGCTTATCTGACACTTCAAGCTCTTGGTAGATGGATCCAGAAAATAGCATTAACCTGTCGTTTATTCTATCATCCCACTAGCGAGCAATTAGTGTACTATCACATTTGCTATCAGCTAATCCCGTCTTTAGGTGTACTAGCTGCAAGTACACACGAATTGGTCGTTGAATTCGTAATTTTAAGATGTAATCTGCTCTTGTCGTGCCTTTGAAACTTCCCACCTACGTCGGAAATGGACACTTTGATGATCCAACCTTCTCTACACGCCGTTGCCTCCTGGGAACTAGTCTCCCAAAGTCATCTTTGTTGTGCTAATGTACAAAACTGTGCAGACAGAGTCGATTCAGTTACAAGCCAGTAAATACAAAAATGCGAAAAGAAAACCTAACTGAGAAAAATTACTGCTAAAATGTACAGGTCGGCATAACGTCTTGCAGAGATACGATGAGAACAGTTCCAAAGAAAAGAACAACAGTTTCAGACAGGATGAATAGGAGGACGAGCTCTCACCATTATTGCCCCGAATGAAAGCATCACCATACTTGTTCTTCAACTGACCATTTACATACTCCTCTGTCTGCTCCATGGCAATGTTCATATAGCCATCCAAACAAGCCAGAATACCTAAAAGTGCAAACCAAAATAAGGCGATTATCCAGATTCATTCCATCACAGTGCCACAGCAATATTGCGTAATCTCTACACGCTGGAGGAGGAAGATCTCCATTGCTCAGAAGGCACTGTTCGCAACCGTGCAAACCATAATTATCTGGGCATAAACGCATAGGAATGGCTGGCTCTTTCAAAGGCAACAGTAGTTCAGCATGGTCCCGCAACAACCATGCGAATCGAATCACAAAACCCACAATATCACTGAATCACAGGATGTCATGAAAAGACAAGCAACTCGCTTTATGGCAAAACAAGTTCTCCAAGAAATAACCTTAATCATCCACACTCCGTCCGCCTTGGTTATAAAAGTGAAAACCCTAGATTTGAGCTATATTCAACAACAGAAAAAAAAAAAATTGATAGGGCTGGAGCGTGCAAAGCCAGAGGCCAGGAATCAGCATCTACAATCATGAAGAAAAGAGGGAGAGAAAACCGAGACGAGAATGAGAAGGCCAGGCATACCTCGATAATCCACGCCAGAATTGAGCTTGACAACTACGGGGCGGCCCTTGATGGACTTGAGAAAATCGTTGGGCGTTTTCGCAGACCCCGTGGGCTGCGCTGACGCAGCATCGCCACTCATCTTCCTAACAGAAACCACCAGGCGAGACGAGACGAGACGGGACGTCACGACGGGAGCAGCGTGACGGGGGCGGGCCACACAACAGACCTCAATGGACAAGCAGCAGCAGCGCGTCTTCACAACACGAAGACAGCGAGCTTTTCCAACCTCAACGAGGAGAAGTTTCGTCCATTTTGTTTTCGTCCACGGATATCGGGGGTTCTGACCACAATGGCCATAGGTGTTCCTTTTACGTCGACAATGACCGTGTCAATTGAGAGGTGGGTGCCAGTGGGCCTGTCACCGCGATGGCTGACCCTTGCTGAGGCACATTGTATTGCATTGTCTTTTTGTTGGCTTTGTCATTTTGGGGCCATGACTAGTCCTGGAGTTCTCTTCTTATTTATTATTACATGCAGAAAAGTTAATGTACTGTATGAATTGAAACGTCATTGTTAAGTATGGTTGTATGATGTTTGTAATGTATAATTGATGTGCATTTCTCATTAGGTGGGTATGATATTTCCAAATAATATATTATGTGAGTTAGGGACATTAGAAGATGATGAAAGATTTTTAATATTTATCAAGAAAATGGATTGGAAGATTTTTGAAGAAAATTACATATATTGGATTAAAGGATGATGACAATAGAAGCAATTGAAGATATTCAAACAAAAAAAAACATAAATAAATAGAGAAGACTTTCTCAAAGATATAAATCTTTCAAGATAACAAGATGATTTTGATTTGAATAGCGAATATGAAGAAAAAAAATTGGATGAGGACATTAAAAATATTATATGAATCAAACAAAGTTGGATTATTTGGTGCATATCAGATGATGCACAAGTTCAAAGGAGGTGGATGTCGTGTTGTAACAAGACTGTATGGTCAAAGATAATAATATGGATCTTATTATAGAAGATCCAAGTTAAAAGATAAAGTAGAAAAATATGGATGAAAAATAGGAAGGTAGTAAAACTTTTAGTAGTAATGCTGCCCTTTTAAAAAAAATTGCTTCTACTTACTTTTTAGGGCCAAAAATAAGGTAAAATAAGGTAGATTGGAAAAATAAATGATAAAGACATCTTTAGGAGGAAATTAAGAGTAAATTCTAATAAAAATTACTTAGAAAAATTAGATATTGATACCCGAGGAGAGACGGTTATCAATCTGGATTAAAATTAGACCCTAATGCACAAAACCAAGCATCTACGGCAACTCGGGGATTCTTTTGCAGATCGGAGAGTGGGGTTTGATAGAAAACTAGATAAGGTTTCTATGAACATTGGTTTGGATGATTTGGATTTGTTATGACTTTGTACGAGCTTTACAAAGTCAAGATTGTTTTTGGATGACTTGGATTTTGTGAAATAAAATAGGGTTGATGTTTCTAGTGATTTCAAGAGTTTGTAATAGTTCTATAAGTGAAATTTCGTAGATTAATGGTCATTGTTGTGCTTAATATGTGTTGTAAATCTTAGCTCAATCCAACGATTGAATTGAGGGTTATTGAGATTTAAATGGGTCAAGGTCTCAAAAAATAGAATTTTAGATCTAGTGAGGGTTTTTAAGATTTCTTGCAATCTACTAGTTGGATTGGAATGAAATTTATGTGAGAGGATATAAGACTTATTTTTCTATGTATATGAGAATTTTGAAATCAATTGAACAATGCAAAGGAGAGATATTGGCTCTAAGAGATTGGCATCAAAGTCAAAGAAGGAGGCCGGCTAATATCCAAGCACATTTTTGAAGCTATCATCTATTTGGTAATTCCGATCATTTTTAAATTTTTTCGTACTTGTTTTCAACTTAATTGTTAAAAAGCATGAAAATTTTGAGTTAATATCAATAGTTCATTCATAAGTAATTAAGGTTTAAATCTGTTATAGGGTTAGGATTTGGTTAGGGTTTGATTTAGGATTAGGATTTGATTTAGGGTTTAGGATTTGGTTAGGATTTGATTAAAGGTTAGGATTTAGGATTAGGATTTGATTTAGGATTTAGAATTTGGTTAGGATTAGAATTTGGTTAAGATTTGGTTTAGGATTTGATTTAGAGTTATGGTTTGATTAAGGTTTTATTTAGGATTAGGGTTTGGTTTCGGATTTAGAATTTGATTAGGATTTGATTTAGGATTAGGATTTAATTAGGATTTGGTTTAGAATTTAGGATTGATTAGGGTTTGATTTAAAGTTTAGGATTTTATTTGAGTTTATTTAGGATTTAAAATTTAGTTAGTTTTTGGCCTAAATTTTGAATGAAGTCTAATAGGATTTCAACTAGAATTAAATTAAGATTGAATTGAGATGTATTTGAGATATGTTTGTAATCATTCTAATATTTCTTTAAAATTTCTTATTGTTTCTTTGTAATTCTTTTGAAGTTTCTGTAAATTTTATTAAAGCTTGTTTCACATTATTAGTGTTCTATTAGAATTAAGATTTTTTTGTAGCAATTTTTATTCTACCTTCTACAGCCAAGTGCTGAGAACATTCTTAAGTAAGATTTCACGTATTACGACATATTTGGTGAATCCAACATGAAAAGTTTGAGATAGAAGATATTTGATTATCTTGGATTATTTGAACTATAGAAAAAAAATACAAGAGAGTTGAAAGAAGAACTTTGGGTTGTGCGTGAATTGGAGCTTTTGAATTCTTAGAGCTTTGGAGACTATCTTAAAATACAATGACAATATTTGAATTATCATAGAGTATTGTAAGGCTTTATAGATATGTTGGAGTATTTTGAAGTATCATAAGGTATTTATAGAAGCATTTTAAGGAATATTTTTGATTATTGTACAATAAAATAGAAGATGTATCATCAAGGTCTTTGAATAGGTCGAATATTTTAGATGAATCAAATATTAGTGAGTTTTTTAAGGCTTTCTATATATTCATGGAGGAATAAAAAAGAATGCAAGCAATTGAAAGAGATATCACAAGGGCATTGCAAGGAGTCATCAACAAATTTGGGAGGTTAGAAAGATGCAATATCACTAAGTTTTTATAAGTTTATACATGTGAAATGGAGACATGCCAAATTCTTAAGGCAAAGATGATCTCAAGCTTATATTTAGCTATTGAATCTAGATTTCATAAAAAAGTGGAGAGATTGCTTAGAGAGGGTATAGAAACATGGTCAAAATTTCAAGAACTTTTGAAGGAAGAATTTATTGATAGAGATGAAGATAGGATTATCAAGCAAAAGTTTTTGGATTGGATAGAGTTGCAACCAAGCAAGCATATGGACCTTTATGAATTCTTAGAAGAATTTGATAGGAGATTTTATCAATTCTCATCCTCAGAGAGATGATCATTGGGTGCTTTAAAGGTAGAATTGTTTTTAAATAGTCTTGATGATGCCTTGAGAGACGAGCTTTTCATGCTTCTTGTAGATGAGTCTATGAAGAGTAATTGTACTAATAATTGGAAGAAGTTGAAGGAAGTAGTAGTTGTTTTAGTAAGGCAACAAGAAGTAGAAGCTAAAGGAGTCGAATATGGCCTAAGAAATCTTGTACTTTGGTTTCTATGTCATCTTTATCAATACGAGGGACTAATCTTAAAAAAAAAGAAATAAAAGAGCACGTGGGGGACTTTAATAGAGAAGTCAATTCTTTGTAGATGAAAGAAATTGGATCTTATACCAAGGGTAGTAAAAGAGAGAATAAAGATTCTTTTCAAACTATTACTATGGAAGGCCAAGGTATCCAAAAATTTGAAAGTAATATGAAGATCAAGGATTTGGAAACTAATGACAATGCGATTGGAAGCTATGGCTATTCTACATTAAATAAGTTTGTATAAGTTGGTGATGGCAATTTGGATGGAAAATCTCTTGGTGATAAAAAGATATTTTCTACATTTGAAGGAGGTGAAGATGTTTTGTCCAATATTTTGGAATATATTGAAGAGTTTAAAGTTGAGCCTTCAAAAGAGATGGATTATGGATCTACTCAAAATTATGATTATAGAAATTATATAAATTCATAATATTATAATGTACAAAGTGGTGGAATTATGCATGAGGATGATGATGAAAGTCAAATTGCATACAGCTATGAGACCACATATGGGTTGGATAAAAGAAGTTATGAATTTTCACATGATTATTATAGAGAGGGTTATGACATTGCATAAGGTTATGTTACTAAATGTGGTTGTAAAACTACAAAGGATTATCATGAAAGTTATGAGACTTTTCAAGAGCATAAGATTTTCAAAGGACAAGAGATTTTTCAATATTATGAGGTTATACAATGCTTTGAAACAACAAAAGGTTATGATATTTCACAAAGATGCATTCAAGAAGATATGAAGGATGTTATACAAGATTATGTAGCAAATAAAGATTATGGGACAAAAGATAAGGATGCCAAGTCATTGACTATAATTAAATTAATTGTGAGCACTTTTCTTTTGGACCAAGGTCAAAGTTATATAGATAATGCACATGTAATGGAAACACAGTTGGATTTGGCAAAGATAAGGTTTATCATCAAGTATGGAATTCAAGGATTGAAAATCTAAAAATCTTCAAATATAAAGATATGGAAAATGGATTTAAAGATTACATGGATATCTTAAATGGGACTTAAAATCAAAGAAATAAGATAAAAGATACAAGCAAGATGTATGTGGTTATATAGAAGAAGTTTAGATTTAATCTTTTTATTTCAAATTTTGTACCTTGCCAATGGTTTGGTCATGTACAAAGGAGGATATTTCCAAACTACTTACACATGGGGAGTAGAAAGAAACATTGGCATGAAAAAAAAAAAAAAAAAAAAAAAAAAAGACAAATTTAGAAAGTATTATTGTAAAGCAAGACTATAGAGGTATAAAAATGGTGGTACTCTTATAAGATATAATTGCCTTTGATTTAAGTTTTATTTATATTTAACAAAATTAATAAATAAATAAATAAATTGGAGAAGTATCATTGTAAAGCAAGACTATGGAGGTGTAAAAAAAGAGGTACTCTTACAAGATATAGGTGCTTTTGATTCAAGTTTTATTGGCATTCAAAAAAAAAAAAAAAAAAAGTGAGAAAGAATTATGTGAGTTAGGAACATTAGAAGATGATGAAAGATTTTTGATATTTATCAAGAAAATGGATTGAAAGATTTTTGAAG